AATGCTAGCTAAAAAGCAAAATCTATAATAGATAAACAAAAAATAAGAAAGGAATCTAAGCAAACCACTGCTAGAATCATCAAACCACAAGAGAAGAGAGCAAGAGAAGAAACAGAGAAACAACAAAACAAACAAAAACAATTAACAAAACGGCAACAAGTACACACCTATCAATAATTACTTTAAATGTAAATGAACTGAATCCTCCAGTTAAAAGACATAAAGTGCCTGAATGAATAAAAGAACAAGATCCAACTATATGTTGCCTACAAGAGACTCACTTCAGGTTTAAGGACACAAAAAGACTGAAAGTGAAGGAATAGAAAAAGATACTCCATGCAAATATAAACAAAAAAATGAAGGGGTAGTTATACAAAATAAAATTCAAGAATTTAAGCAAAGACTGTAATAAGATTTAAAAAATCATTATATAATGATAAAGGGGTCAATCCAGCAAGAGGGTAAAGCATTTGTAAATATTTATGCACCCAACAATGGAGAACCTAAATACATAAAGCAAGCATTAACAGACCTAAAGAGAGGAATAGACAGCAATTCAAGAATAATAGAGGGCTTCAATATCCCATTTTCAATAATGGATAGATCATCCAGACAAAAAACTCAATAAAGAAACATGGGGCTTTGGTGCCTGGGTGGCTCAGTCGTTAAGCATCTGCCCTCAGCTCGGGTCATGATCCCAGTGTCCTGGGATCAAGCCCCACATCGGGCTCCCTGCTCAGCGGGAATCTTGCTTCTCTCTCTCCTACTCCCTCTGCTTGTGTTCCTGCTCTCGCTATCTCTCTCTCTGTCAAATAAATAAATAAAATCTTAAAAAAAAAAAAAAAAAAGAAAAGAAAAAGAAACATTGGTCTTAAACAACACACTAGACTTAATGTGAGAGATATCTCATGGTCATGGATTGGAAAAAAAAGTACCATTAAGATGTCTATACTACCCAAAGCCATCTACAGATTCAGTGTACTCTCTAGCAAAATTCCAATGAGATTTTTCACAGAAATAGAAAAAAAAATCCTAAAATTCCTATGGAACCATGAAGACCCTGAGTAGCCAAAGTAATCTTAAGAAAGAAGAGCAAAGCTGGAGGCATAAGCATCACACTCCCTGATTTTAAACTATATTACAAAGCCATAGTAATCAAAAGAGTATGGTATTAGCATAAAAACAATGACATAGATCAATGGCACAGAACAGAAAATCCAGAAATAAACCCAAGCATATGTGGTCAATTAATTTACAACAAAAGAGCTAAGAATATACAATGATGGTCTCTTCAATAAGAAGTGATGGGAAACTGGACAGCCACATGCACAAGAATGAAATCAGACCCCTATCCTACACCATACACAAAAATCAATTCAAAATGGATTAAGGACTTGAAAGTAAGACCTGCAACCATAAAACTCCTAGACGAAAACAAAAGAGAAAGAGCTCCTTAACATCAATCTTGGCAATGATTTTTTTGGATTAGACACCAAAAGCAAAGGCAACAAAAGCAAAAATAAGCAAGTGGGACTATATCAAGCTAAAAATAACTTTAGCACAGCCCAGTGAAAAGGCAACCTATTAAATGAGATAAAATATCTGCAAAACATATACCTGATTAGGGGTTAATATCAAAAAATATATACAGAACTCAGACATCTCAAAAGCAATAAAAACAATCTGATTAAAACATGGGCAGAGAGGGCCCCTGGGTGACTCAGTCCATTAAGCATCCAACTCTTAGTTTTGGTTCAGGCCATAATCTCAGGGTTGTGAAATCGAGCCCTGCATCAGGCTCTGCACTGGGCATGGAGCCTGCTTAAGATTCTCTCTCCCTCTTCCTCCGCCCCTCCCCCCCAACACTTGCATTCATGCTCTATCTTAAAAGAAAAAAAATGGGGCAGAAGACTGAATAGACATTTTTCCAAAAAGGACATACAAATTGGCCAACAGGTATATAAAAAGATGCTCAACATCACTAATCATCAAGGAACAACAAATCAAAACCACAATGAGATATCACCTCACACCTGTTAGACTGGCTTTCATCAAAAAGACAACAGATAAGTGTTGATGAGAATGTGGAGAAAAAGAAATTCTTGTATACTGTTAATGGGACTATAACCTGGTGCAGCCACTGTGAAAAACAGTATAGAGGTTCCTCAAAAAATTTAAAAAATAACCACCATATGACCCAGCAATCCCATTTCTGGACATATATCCAAAGGAATTGAAAGCAGGATTTCAAAGAGATATGTGCACTCCCACGTTCACTGCAATATTATACATAATAGTCAAGACAGGGAAACAACCCAGGTGTCCATCAACAGATAAGTGAACAAGTAAGATCTGACTAACCGAGATCCAGATATAATGGAATATTATTCAGCCATGAGAAAAAAGGAAATCCTGCTATTTGTAACAACATGGATAGACCTTAATGCCTTATGTTAAGTGAAATAAGCCAAAGAGAGAGAGAGAGATAAATACTGTATGATAGCACTTAGATGTGGAATCTAAGGAGACAAAAATGTCAAACTCATAGAAACAGAGTAGAAAAGTGGTTGCCAGGGTTTGTCAGGTGGGACAGATAGGGAGAGGTTGGTAAGAATATAAACTGTCAGACCAGATAAAAGAGGTCTGAGGATCTAATATAAATCATGATGAGTATAACTGATAACACTACATCATAATTAAAATTTGCTGAGAGTAGAACTTAAATGTTCTCACCAAAAAAAAAAAAAAAAAGTGAGGTGATGGATATGTTAATTAACTAGATGGGAGGGGATCCTTTCACAAAGCCTATGTATACCAAATTGCCACAACTTTAAATATCTTATGATTTTATTTGTCAATTATACTGAAGTTTTTAAAAATGAAGTCAACTCACAATTTCTGTTCTATTGATAGTATCTAAAGATTAACCAAGGGGCACCTGGGTGGCTCAGTCAGTTAAGCATCCAACCCTTCATTTTGGCTCAGGTCATGGTCTCAGGGTCATGAGATCAAATCTGCCTGAGATTCTCTCTCTCCTTTCCCTCTGCCCCTCCCACCACTCACACGTAAACTATTCTGCTTGGTCAGACAAGTAGGCTTTTGATTTACAACAGCTGTATTTCAATGGTGTACACACAATTTCATTTCTGCCTTTATAATTCTTTTTTAACCATCAAGTAATAAGACATTGTTTGGTCCAGGGGTTTTGGAATCATTTCGGTCTTTTAATCTAATATAATCAAGTGGTTTTGCTATAAATCTCATTATCATAAATTTTGTTTAGTTCTGGGTTTAACAATGGGATAGCTAACCATGGACATATTTTCTTTTCCTTGCTATCTGTCTCCATTTCATTCCCAAATTTAGAAGATTATTGCCATGAATACTTCATTCACTGCTAATATACTTGAACTTCATTCCAGTTATTTCACACACCCTTCAAGTTTTTATAATTATAAAAATGTCATGATGGAAATCTACAGATAAGTATGAAAATATATACTTGCGTACGACAGTGCTTTGGAATTAATACTGACAAGACTTCAAGAGGGAAAATATATGCTTATAGGACAATAAAACTTAACAGCAACCAAGAGTTGGCTCTCAGGTATATGGCTATTATTTGTTTTGTTTTGTTTTGTTTTTTCTCTTCTCCCAAAGTATTTTTTAAAAAGGCAGTAACAAATATAAAGACAAAGCTTATAACGATGTTACATTTAAATTCCAATATCTGCTTACATGGATCTGCTTCACAAGAGAATGCTAAGCTAGGTAAGTGCTCAATAAAACCCTTAATTTCGAAGATGGCCAACACTTTTTACTTGCCAGTTGGATTGACCCTAAAAATCTAAATATGCCTGTCAATCCTCATGTCTCCACTTAATGCAATCTCCACCCCCTACATGGATGCCCTCTATCAAGCTGGGATCAAACACTGCTGGCTCTTTATTCAAAGGACCACAAGTTCATATGTTAACAGATGCAAATACATGAAATAGTCTCTAAGGCCAGATATTTGTTCACTTGGTCTATAATCAGTGAACTTTGAAATACAAGTACAAAACTCTACATTTCTTTAGTTTAATAAAAAAACACCCATGCTTCATAGGTAATAATTAATTTCATCTATTAAAAGAAACCACACAAAACGATCTCTGTCTAAAACCATTACTCATTTGATCTATAAGCCCAGAAAAAAGATGTAACTTCCTCTTGCCTTGGTTCATCTACGTTAGCTCCTGACTGGGTATGTTGGGGCACGTAGGAGGTCATTTTCTAGTCTTGTTTCCATAATAACTAGAGTTCTTCTCCCTGAACAAGAGCAACAGTCAAGTTTTAAAGGAACACCAGTTCTGAGAGAACCAACTGAAGGACCAAGTGTCACTTCAGCCAGTGATTCTTTCTGCAAACTCCTCTCAGGGATGAGAACCTAATTTATGGTTCCTTTGTATTACCTTTCTCCTAAAATATTAAGAGTTAACAGCTGAGTAAATAACTGGCATTCAGTAAAGACACCTGTTATTATCTCTTTAGTCCACAAAGAACTTAAAAGAAAATATTTTAAGATAAAATTGTCTATTAATAATTGAGGTGCTTCGAACAAAAGTTCTCAGTATTACAAATCTGTAGTGCATGGGTCATTCTGTGTTAAGAACTTCTGATAGTATGAACACATAATAGTACATGCACTTATTATGTTGTGACCATCCCAGATTCTTTGGTTAAAAATAAATAATGTCAAAAACAAACAAACAAACAAACAAAAATAAATAAATATCAGGTGGAAGACTTTAATCTTCTAGATTTTGATTTTAAAACATTATCTCCTAATTTCCAGGAGAATGATAGTATGTTGATAGTAAAAATGAACAAATGCAGAAGTAACCTTGAAACCAATTCGATAGCAAGCTGTTGTTTCTCCCTACTTCTCCCATGCCAGCACAACCAGGTCATGAGTAGTTATTGACTCTCAAAATAAATGTTGAGCTTAGTGTTCTTACCTGGCACCCTCTTTGCCCAGTTGATCATGTGAACCAGCTCCCTGTCAGCAAGGTTGGTCAGCAAGCCCATCATCGAAGCCTCACTGAAGGGTCTGGAAGGATCGTAGTCGGAATAGATTATGGGGGGCTCAGCCTCCAGCAAGGCACTGACCATCTGATCGGCTGTCAGGGACAAGGCTGGGCTGTTCTTCTTAGTATGCTTAATCAAGAGTGGGCTTGGCCAAAGGCTGGAAGCCCTCATATCTCCAGAGGACCCCACTTCATTCCTGCCCTCCCCATCATCTCTCTGGCGCTTGTGTTTCAACATTCTCCCTCCTCTTCGGTCTTTCCGTATCCCTGAGAACACAGAAAAAAAAAGAAAAAAATACCCAGTTTATTTCTTTTTCTCATGTAAACTTTCCTACTAAAACCAATTTCAAAGGTAATAGCCTTTATTTACATAAATATTTTGAGGCACGGGTGTACTAGTAAGTGTTTACCAGCCAGCTGCCTAAGAAGAAAAAAGGGCTTTGATGTATAGCATTCCCCGATTTCCATGGAGTAAATACTCCCACTGTAGTAAATTCCAGGCTACTTGTCTGATATCAAGTGGTTTACAGAACTCCTGGGAAATTAACAGTGGACTTCTGTGAGCCAGTAAAAGCTGATTCTGACAAACTGTGTGTGTGTGTGTGTGTTGTGTGTGTGTGTATGTGTGCGCATGTCACAGATGCTTTAAAAAGAACAGAAGTATAATAATTACTTGTTCTTGAAATATGGCTTAGCATCAAAGACTGTTTCTGCTATGAATATTCTTTTAACAGTAAATTTAAAAGGCAATGAAAGAAGCACTTCCTACCATCCTAATCGTCCAAGTAGGCCTCTTAATGGAAGACTTCGAAAGGGAATGACTTAGCCGAAATGTATCTGACAACCTCTGGATTCCACAGGTGCTCAGCAAGTCTTTGTGGCTAAGCTGTACCTTATCAACTTACTTAGTACTTGACCTAAGACGGTCAAGTTGGTTACTTGGTTCTAAGATTTTCACAAATGTATTTCTGTTTCCCTAATATAAAAGCTCTAAAACGGTTGAAAATAATTGCCCCCCAAAGGCTTACCCAGCTGTGGTTCTCACTAACTAAATTATAGAGAGAAGGGGAATCCAATCTCTTTTGCAGTGATTCTTTGAGGTTTTAGCTCAGCATCTTAACCTGGAAAAGGCCATGCTCTGGTGCTGAAATATATCAGCAGAAACAAATATCTTAAAAAGACAAAAATTAACAGAAGCTCCCATATTTTCAAAAATATTCATCTCAGGGTGCCTGGGTGACTCAGTCAGTTAAGCGTCTGCCTTCGGCTCAGGTCATGATCCCAGGGTCCTGGGATTGAGCCCTGCAAGGTAGGGCTCCCTGCTCAGTGGGGAGTCTGCTTCTCCTTCTTGCTCTGCCTCTCCCCCCTGCTTGTGCACTCTCTCTCTCAAGTAAATAAAATCTTTAAAAAAAATAAAGATTTATATGAAAAAATAATCATTTTGGTAAAAAGCTAACACAATTATTTTTAATATTAAAGACATGAGAAGAATACACTTTGTAATATATTACCTATTCTCTCACTCTATAGCAAATGAATAACTAATGTCAGAACTTTGTTCTATTCTGTTCTGATTTGTCAAAGAATTTGTGGACAAATGTGTGGTTGTGAATTTTTTATGTGTAACTTTTATTCTTATAGGTCTAGATTAAATATATTAGACAATGCCTTCAAAATATAACAAAGTCACAGACCCTTCCTATTTATTCAGGATTAAAATAAGCATTTCTCAGAACTCTTGGAATAAGTAATAATAGTAAAGATTATTATCACTAATACACACTCAGCACTCACCATATATTTTAAGCACTTTATATACATTTACATAAAAGCACTTTACAACTAATTTAGTCCTCACAATAATCTTTAAAGTAAATACTGGGAAACAGCTCTGTAAGAAGGTTAATGAACTTGTCCAAGACCATTCTCTATTAAGTATGATTCCAGATCCTGCCTCTAAAATGAAGATGTTTTTCCAGTTAACAGTTTTAAAATTTAATCAATTATCAACAAAGTTGACGAATCTAAAAATATCCAGAAATAATATAAGTCGGATGAGAACACATGTATCTGACCTGCCACTGTCCTTAGGCACTTCAACTAATTCATTGCCAGGAGCACTAATGAGATAAGAGCATCTGAATTAAGAAAGATGATACTCTCTACTCTCAGCTCATTCGTGCAGACCTGGAGTTATCACACCCATTGCTGGATGCTTCCTATATAAGCAAAATAAACTTTTTAAAATTAGAGTAACTAGGATAGTGGGGAGACGTAAAATCAAGTCACATGGAGATCAACTGAGGAACTAAGAGGGGTTATCGTAGAGAAAAGAAGACTTGGAGGAAACATGAGTGTCACCCTCAACTGGGCTATCCTGTAAAGATGGTGTTATGGTCTGAATGTCTGTGTCCCCAAAAATTCGTATGTTGAAATCTAATCCCAAAGTGATGGTACTTGGAGGTGGAGTCCTTGGTAGGTAATCAGGTCATGAGAGTACAGCCCTCATGAATGGGATTAGTGCCTTTCTAAGAGGCCAGAGAGCTAGTAGGAGCTTGCTCTCTCTACCATGAGAGGATACAAGAAGACAGCTCTCTCAAGCCAGGAAGCAGACCTTATTCAGACAGCAGATCTGCTGGCACCTTGATCTCGGACTCCTCAATCTCCAGAACTGTGAAAAATAAACATTTGTTGTTTAAGCCACGCAATCTGTTGTATTTCAGTTATAGCAGCCCAAACTAAGTGAGAGATGGGTTCAACTTGCTCTTTATGAGCCCAAATGGTAACACAGAAGAAATATGTGAAAACTATGAGTAGAGTTCAATATGAGGAAGCAGTTTGCAACAAAGTTGACAATAAAGATAGAATCTGCTGCCATGGGAAAAGATACTTGGCTCACTGGAGACTCCCAATAATAAGCTACACGAAGACTTTATGGGGATGTTACTGGAGGGATTCAATTATCCAGTGAGCATTTGCACTAGGTGACCTTCAATATACCTTCTCAAGACTGTATGACTCTAAGGTCTTCCATTTGTGATGTAAGACCACTAGTCTTAGAATGAAAAATGGGGGGTGGGGGGAATCAAAAGCAAAAACTTCCTTTAGGGTCACATTTCTTAGGAAATTTTGAGGTCAGAATTTTGAAAGGATGAACTGTGATTAAAGTTTACCTATTTTGGGTGGGGACTGGGATAAAAAAAGTACATTGTTCTTCAGTGTTACTGTATTATTCAAATATTCTTTATTTCCCTACTCTACAACTTTAGAAAAAGATTGGGAATGTGAACAGATCTTATAGGAAATCTGTAGCAGCAATGAAAATCTTTTAATATCCAATCTACATGGAAAGATAAAAGCAAGGGATTTGACTAAAGAAAAAATGGTTAAAAATTATATTGTTTTTCCTAAGATGAAATCAGGAGTTACCTGATCACAACGACACATAAGCATTTTACTTCCTAAAAATAAGAACTATGCTTTCTATTACAAATGTAATTTATTTTTTAAAGATTTCAAAAGTAAAGACAATGGAATAGAAGGTTAACACAACAAAACAAAACACAGTATTACCACCCACTTTAAAAGGCCCCAGCAATCATAGTACAGATGACATGATTTCCAAAAAAGGATTTTAGACTCAATTTAGGTACTAATAGCAGCAGTTATCAAATTTATCAAAGTATTTGTTCATTTGGTAAAAATGTGTTCACTACTTATAATGTATATTCACAGATGATACAGTGTAAACAAAGATAGATTATGTTACCCTCCATTAAGTTTTCAGGTTGGAGGGAGAAAGACATCAATCAAGAATCATTCAGTACTCACTGGATGGATGGATGAATGAATGAATGAATGAACGAACAAACTGCCCAAAACACAATGTAAGGGAGGAGGTGAGTCAAGGAAGAGGAGACAAAGAAAGCTTCTCCAAGAGAAGTTACATTTAAGCTAAATTGCGAAATTTCCTTTCTTGGAGAAATTTAGAAGTAGTCTACTCAGAATGAGTTGAGTCTCACAAATATATGATCTAGGTTGTTGAACACAAGACAAAAATGGGCACAGGTTTAGCATGTAGAACAATGAGACACAATCAGAAAGATCAAGGAGAGAGTTGAATATTTATAAAATCATCAAATAGTCCAATAGGTAAAGGTGGATTCAATTAGCATTAAAAAATATTTTCTCTAATTTACCCCTAAATGTACTATATTTTTCAAATGCCAAAGTCCCCACAAAATGTACAAACAGGGAACAAACAGGGTTCAGTAGGCTGAGTGTCTGCTTTCGGCTCAGGTCATGATCCCGGGGGCATGGGATCCAACCCAGTGTCGGGGTCTCTGCTCAGTGAGAAGCCTGCCTCTCCCTCTCCCTCTGATCCTCCCTGCCCTCCCCTTTCTCTCTCTCTCTGTCTCTCTTTCAAATAAATAAAATCTTTAAAAAATGTACAAACAGAACAAAAATAGAAAATCATACATTTTATTTGTCCAACTGCATGTAGTAGGATCCTAGGACACAGCTCAATGAGGAAGAAACCCTTTTCCACTTGTAAGTAGTAACTGTCACATTACCAGTGATATATCAGTGTCATTTACCAGTAACAATATTGCACAAATATTTTATAGTAGTTAAAAAAAATCAAATTGGAATTGAGTGGGAGAAAGTAAAAAAAAACTGACCCAATTTCGACTTCTATTTTAACCTAGGTTAAACGGGAATCACAGATCAGAACCAATGATCACAGGCCGTGTGGCTATGGGACATACAGCCAGTTCTTAATTACAGAGAGTGATGGGGCATAGGAATGGCATGCATAATTGAAATCCAGGCATAATTGAATGGCAGGCATAATTGAAATTGAAAGAATAACTAGCATGCCCTAGCTCAGAGATTTGAGCCTAAGTGAATTATGTAACCATAAACTATTATTAATATTGTCATGACCCCTAAGTGTACCAGGTCAAGGGACTATAAATTATCCAGTTTTTTCAAAGCAACTTAATGCTCTACCCCTTCCTTCTTTCACATCCAACAAATCACCACAACCATAAAAACTTTATGCTCCCCACCAAGACATTTTCCAGAATTATTTGTAGAGCAGCAACTTAGATTGATATGTATTGTATTTAAGCTCATTCCCCTTTGTCTAACTTATGTTAACTCTCAGTAAAAAAACCAAAAGACCAAAAATGAGTTCACAAAGCAAAGGGGAAAAAGAAAAGGCAATTAGCTTAGATCACGCAAATATTAAACGGGCAGCCTCC